CCCTACAAACTGAGAGGCTGGTCAGAGTATCTCTGAGCTTGTTTCCACGTCTGTAAAATGGGCATTCTACTTTTCTGGGCAATTGTAAACCATAAAAATGGTAAGCAATGCAAAGTGCACAGCTCAGAGTCTCTCATGTAATAAGTACTGGGCAAATTAGTGTTCCCTTCCCTTGTTCTTTAGACAGACTCTTACACTTTAACTTACTACAAAATCTTCCAGAGACAGGTCATATATTATAATAACTATTAACCAAAATATCAATCTCAAGTTTGTTCAAGCCTTAACTGTCAGGCCTGTTCAATCAGTTGGATGGAATAAAATCTTAAATGACACAGAATTTAGACGGGTCTTTAAAGTTTATTGTACTCAGATTTAACTGCTTTGCTAGCTAAGCATGCCTGACTGGCCTCAAATTCACCTCCTTCCCTTCCCCATTAGCCTTCAGGAGGAAGAATTAATGAGGAACAAAGTGGCTAACAGGGTGGCAAAGTGGAGGATAGAAGGTAAACTGAATGTACAGGTCTCTCATTCATCCCCAAAGCATATATCCATAGGTATATACTAGGTAGCAGGGATGCAAGAAAGGAAATTCTGAAATAAGAGGCATTTTTCTGCTCCTAATACTTGAGAAGTTACTGTACCTAGCATTGTTTCTTAGATAAAAAAAGAATATAATAAATGCTCAAAATGTGTTGAATGAATAGTGCCTTATATGTTTGTTTATAAAGGGCTTTTCACACATATTATTTCCAATCTCGTCTTATTGTGTTCTGTTGGATGTTACTACACTAGCAAGCTCCTGTTTCTATAACAGCACATCTACAAAACATTTAATCTGATTCATTTCATTGCATGCTTGGATCATAAAAAAGAGTAATGCATAAAAACACGTTCTGCATAATCAATTAGTTGCTTTTCTTGGATTATAGTATTTGAATCATCCAGCTTCCAAGGTGTCGCTTTAAAGTTTATACACATGCTACCAAACAATAGTTTTTGGATTTTCTTAATCTGAGCAACAGATTATGGAGTTAAGTGAGGCAAGAAATCCCTAGATTAATAAATGGAGATGGAGTCATAATGAAAACACATTTAAAAAATCTCTTCTTTACAGTGAAGTAGTTATCCAAATCCTCAATAAGCATCAAGGCTCTTTGTTTAAACTGTTTGAGAATGATACAGATTTGGGTTGCAGGGTGAAATATACTCAACATACCAACCAGAACTGCCAGGATCCTCTAAGGCTCTTCCCGACTGCCCCCCCCCACCCCAAATAGTGCTGGTCAGTCTATTATGTGTTTATATCTCTTCTCTCACTTTGAATTTGTGTGTGTGTGTGTGTGTGTGTGTGTGTGTTTCTGTATGTGTATACACACACATACACTGTGTGCACACACATGGTTAATGTAAGGGATTTTTACACATTACTTTGTAGTGGGCTGGAAATAGATGGCCTGGAAGCTGTACACTAGGTGAAAGATGTGAAAGAGCCAGGTATTTGCACGTGAGGAGAACAGGGGAGAGAAAAACTGGGGTGGGGCTGGGGGAAGAAGATGATGAATAAAGTAGACAAGACTGAATTAGAGACTTAAGACAAAACATCAGCCAGGATTGGAAAAGTAATTTAGAGAAATGAAGGCCGGATGACCATAAAAGGCTAGTTGGGAGAAGATTTCTGGGTATGGGGCTGAGGAAGCAAAGATCACGGGAATGGAGTGGCTTCTAGGCCTGAGGCTTCTATGGGGTACCCCTCAGCTCAGTTTAGCACCCTGAGCTGTTAAAGACAATAGGAGAAGCACAGACTCTGGTCTTGGTGGGAAGGGATGGGGCAGCCGCAGAAACAATGTTACGTGCACCACAGATCAAATCTGCTGGGAGCCTCAAGCCCAACATGGGAGTCCTGAGAGGAGTGACAGTATAGCTGATGCCAGAGATCCCAGCAGTCACAGAGAGAAAACTACTTAGGAAGATTGGCTCAGGCTGTACCTTAGCAGGCAGGGGCTAAGAGAACAAAAGGTCAGTAAGTTGCGCAGAATGTTACTAATAAGCAGGGAACTCTACCTTTTGATTCAACAGTAATGACATACTTTTGCTCTGAAATTGCTGCACTCTGGAATAAACCCCAAGGCTCTTGTTGGAGGGTGCTCCACGGCAGGCGAGAGACAATGATGGGTTTGCTGCAGAGCTGCCTTGATGGTGGCCAAGAATGTGTGTGTGGAGGGGAGGGTAGAGCGTGACCTGGGAAAGGGGATAAGGAGCAGACTCAGAAAAACAGGAAATAATTAACTTGAAAGCCTGACAGAGAAAGACCACGTGATGATCTGAAGGAGGGAAGGTGAGCTCCAATGTCTCAAGATCTGCACAAATCACTGCGAATGGATGCTGAACTGAAAACTGCCTAACAAGTGCTTGGAAAAAGCACTAGCTCGGGTCTTAGGGGCTGCTGGGGAAAAGCCAAATGTAATATAACATAATGTCATGTCATGAAACCTAAACTTCCTGGGAGTAATTAGTAAAACTGTGCGGAAGCAGATCTAATGTTAAGGAAAGTAAGTTTCTTGTTATTTCATTATGGAATGGTGCAAGATAGAGTTTCCCACACTTTAGAACACGAGTAACATATTTGTAAATTTTGACATACCTGAATGTTTCATATATTAATAGTTAATTAATATTTTTCTGTAAATCACTTTTTAAACTTAAATACATTATTTTAAAAGAAAACTTAAAATCATTTCCACAAGTGGAAAATCAGTATCACTTGGAAAGGGATATCTTTTCAAATGGAAGCTAACTCTAAAAACTAACAAATAACTGAATAATAACTAGAAAAAAGTCTCCATGTTTCTTCTAGAGACATCTTGTTTTCTATTGGTGGTAGGTATAGATATTACCCATATATCTGAAATATAAAAGACTCTTTGGGAAGTATTGGTTTTGGGAATTCCAGCCTGGAACAATGGAATGTTATTCAGGCTTAAATAGGAAGGAAATTTCTGACATGTGCTACAACATGGATTAACCTTGAAGACATTATGCTATGTAAAATAAACAGGTCACAAAAGGACAATTACTGTATAATTCCACTTATATGAGGCACCTACGATAGTCAAATTCATAAAGACAGAAAGTAAAATGATAGTTACCAAGGGCTGCAAAGAGGGGAGATTGGAGAGTTAGTGCTTAATGGGTATAGTTTCAATTTGGAGAGATGAAAAAGTTTAGAGATGGATGGTGGTGATGGTTGCACAACAATGCGAATATACTTCATGCTACAGAACTGTACACTTAAAAATGGTTAGGGAATTCCGTGGTGGTCCAGTGGTTAAGACTCCACACTTTCACTGCCGAGGGTGAGGTTTCGATTCCTGGTGAGGGAACTAAGATCCCATAAGCAGCATGGCACAGTCAAAAAAAAAAAAAAAAAAGGTTAAAATGGTAAATGTTATGTATTTTTTATCACAATAAATGAAAAAAGTGCTTATAATGGTGTCCAGTATATAGTAGGTGTTCAATAAAGGTTAATTCTGATTATCTCTATTAACAACCCATTATTAATAACCATTATTTATTCATGGTAGGCACATAGTATTTTTGCATGAATGCCTTGTCCACCCACTCTGGATATCTTAATGCTATCTTCAGAATTAGGACTGAGAATGTTGAAACACTTTTCCACTGTCCTTGAGGTGTTACATCCTCCAAGGGGGCTAGCTCCTACAGCTGGGTCAGTTCCCCCAGTATGTCTCCTGTCCAGTCCTAACTTCCTCTGATTTCCTGACACAAGGCCAATTCCTCAGAAGGAGATTCCTAGGGCAAGAGGATGTACTTGGTGTAGGAGCAATGCTAGCCTAGGTGACACTTGGGCATCCCCAACTATAATTTCAGGAGTAACTCCCACTGTTCACTTAATCCTGGCTTGAGTTCTTGGTCAGTAGTGACCCCCGCTTCCTTCCTTCTTTCCCCAGCTCATCCGTCCCAGCCACCTAGCTACCATACCAGAAATAAGTGGAGGCATTAGAAACATACATAACATTAAATGAATCTGAGAACATTCTTAACACTTTAAAAACCTGTGCTAATTCCACTCCAGGCCTCTCCAAGCCACTGACCAAATCTGCACTTTCTCTCTTCTCTTCACCCTAGATGCAGGCTTCAGTCTGAGGTCTCAACATGTGGTAAACCCAAACCATCCGTTCCAAGATTCCTCCAGAATCCAATTTCCCATGTTGGGGCCTCAGATGGTGTTTACCATAATGTTCTCTTTTTGAAGTCTTTCAAGCACAAAATTCTCACTTTGTGTTCTTATGACCAGAA